TTTTTATTTTACAAACACTCTACCCTTGTAAATATATTTGTAACAAAATGAAATTAAAATCAAATCAGTTGAACCCAACTATCCGAGCTTTGACCATTAAACTCAAGCAAAACAAAATCGCAGTACTCTGCAAGTACAACATAAGCACACAATTGCTTATTTTCGAAATTCTCCACATGCCTCGAAATTTCTCTTAGAAACCAAACATACATACATCCTCTATTTTAAAATGTATGCAGTGCGCATATGTATGTTTGTGGATGTATTTACGCATAGCAGGGTGCTAAATAGATAAACACTTCATATATAATAACATCCATACAGTATATTTGCGCATATTTACATGTGTACATACGTGTGTATTTCTCTACATGAGAAGCCTTGCCAAGATATTCGCACACAACGTTGCCATGCACAGGCAAATATTTATGAGCTTGCTTTTTGTTTGGACTTAATTGTATTTTCTAGGCTTAAATATTTTATCATCAATGCCTACAATTATGAAGATTAATTGAAAGGCTTTGGGTTGCATGCATGCGAAGAGCATTCATCTATCATCTTAAAGCAATGCAGAGCTAAGGCAAAGGGCAATAATTGAATGTATTTACACATACATAAATAGATGCATAGTATGTACATTAGACCCTACCACTTTAGAAGCAAGCAAACAAAAATCGCCTTACACCCCCGGGTCTTAAAGTATTTTTGCGAGGAAATTTTGGAAAATGATATTTTTTTGCCGAATCATTTTCCGCAATAAATAAGGTTTAAAGAAGTTTTACTGAAATAATGAAGAAACTTCCTTAGCAAAAGTAGAATGATGTTCAGCGAGCTTTAATTTTCTTACATTAGGGTGGTAGAAATTGTGATCTGATGCGTAAGTACTAGAACGGGGTACTTGAATTTTAAAATCCGACTACTAATGCCGAAGATATAACGAAAAATTATAATTGACGACCCTACAAAATCGGTATTTCGTTGAAATCGAAATACTTCCTTAGCAAAAGCAAGATTTCATCTACTGAGATTAGAGTGGACGTTAGGTTGATATGAACTGAGCTCTTCAATGAACCTTCGAACAAAACAATTACCTCCTCGATACAATAATATCGATATATCAATATTTAAGATCCGACTGTAAGTGCAGAAAATATCACGAACAATGTAAAAACACGATCCCCACCTTCGGCCAAAAGAAATAAAATTTTATTTTCGAAAAAATAAAAAAAAAACACTTTAAACTCAGAGGTGTGCGCCTAAGTTTTTTTTTTCTCTTACAAATTAATTATTTACAAACTGGTACACATACATGTGTATATTAGGGATGTTCGAAATTGCATTTTAGAAAAGTAAAGCCGGAATTTTGATGCTCTCACGCGCTAGTTTTATTTTATTAAACAAAATATACCCCCGTATTTTTTTTAAACAAAAAATATTTAGCGGTTGCCCAAAGCACCGGAAGTTTCCTATTCACTTTAAAGGGTGAAAAAAATGCCCTTGAAACTGAATATTTTTCAATATGCAAACTCTGTTTCTCTTAAGCAAACTTCGAAGAATAATACCCAGTTTTTTATTTAATCGTATTTTTTTTAAGTAAAAATTTATTAGGGGTGCCCCCATAGCATTTATTGGGAAAACCCATATAAAATGGTTTAATAAACAATTAGCTATTATTACTTGTAGTCTACTGTAAAGAAACATAATTTGCCGATTGAAAAATAAAAAAATTAAAGGATTGTATAGCATGTCTAAGAAAAATTTTTTTCCACATATAAAATACATGGGAAACTTTGAGCGACCGCGTAAATATTTATGGATTTCATAACGAAAACAAGGTATATTTTTTCGATATAAAACAATACTATTGAGTGAAAGCATTAAGATTCCAACTTTAATTTTGTTGGACCACCCTAATGTACATACATATATACACTATATACACACATATGTAGTTACGTATATTACGTGAGGTAGTTGCTAAGATTACGTTGCTATGAAAATAATGAAAATGAAAATTTTCCAGTAAGAAAGCAAGAAGTTGCGTATACGCACTGCCGTACGCTACGGAAACAATGCCGCCTAAAGAGTTTGCTTAATTATAGGCATTGAAATAAAACTACAACGCATAGGTCATACACGTACATACATACATATGTTATATACAAACTCAGTGTGCCTTGAAGTTGGTTGCTTTTGCTGCCATACAGAATGTCGCTCTTTAAGATCTACTCACAAATTGTTTTTACTAAACTTGCACTGCAGCGCCCTTTATTATTCTTTCTGTACCCGTATCTTTCCTTCCTTCAATGAATAAAATATGTGCATGTGTATGTGCTCCTTCTTCCTTTATGCGACTTACGAGCTCCATTTGTTCTTGTTGCTATTTTACTATGTCACTAATCCATGCATCAGTCACTCATTGCCCATACAGTATTGTATGTACATATGTATGTACATACATCATTCTCCCATAGCGGCATTTATTTTCTTTTATCTCACTGCCTGTTTTACCTTCCCAAGGCAATTGTGTTTCTCTCTGCTACCCATATTTTAAGCCTCACCTCCTTTACCTCATCCTCTCTGTCATGGCCGTACGTCTAGCACTTCCGGTAAATCCATTTTATTTATTGCTCAAGTCACTGTCGGCATTCATTAGGTCATTAGTTAAGCATCGTCTTTATGTGAGTAAAGTTTCCTTAAACCGCCTCATCGTATTTATGTTGCACTCTTGAAAGCATTGGCTGGCTGCGTGCAAGTCGCTCTGGTGATCGTAATGGAAACATTTTTGTTATCTTTTGTGTTAGCGTAAGCTGTGCGTAGCGTGCCGCAAGTTTGTATAAGTATATGTATGTATATGGACAGTATTACGAATGGATTTGTGATTGCAGCATTGCATGTTGCTACTAAATTGGCAGTACTTGATCTATTAGTGTTGTACCATTGTCTTGTTTTACATACACATAAAGGCTAATTATGTATTAAACACGCATGCAGTGAAGGCCACAAGAGTCTCTGCGCACATTTAATTAACTATGCATTTAGTTAAAAAAAATCTTGAAATGGGAATCAGACGACAAAAACTTCCTCGGAGTTTAGACTGAGTATAGGGAACAGCCAATTTTCGAGCAATAGATCGGAAACTTTTGAGCTCCTCTGGCAGACTCATTTCCCTGGATGTTCAAATATCAGGGCAAAGTACCACTTCTGCTCAAAATCTTCAGCTTCCTACCCTAAAAGTCAACTAGGCTTGGCGGTATCAGAATCAGTAACCCCAAACGTTCCAGATATTGTGTTTCTGCAACCCATCAATGCCCCTTATAAATAATCTTCTCAAAATAAGGAAAATAAATGCAGAACTCGGGAAATTCGCATCTGAAGAGGGAGTGCTGTCGACTCTACTATCTATAGAATATCGCTGTTTTCAGTATACATACTTAAAAAGATAGAAAGATGCGGCGGCATTGCAATGCTGGTTATCGCTAAACACCTAACAACACTAACTAATTTTTAGGAGGTTTATCACGGGTGTTACGTACAAAGCTTGGGAATCAATTACGCATGACGCAAAGTTAATCTGTTATTTAAGAAACACCGATTTTTCTACATCGTTTACGTGATGTAACATTCAGGAGGACTGAAAATGCTTATTAAGTATACCTGATCTTGGAAAGAAAAGTAAATGGAGAACCCAACATAATTGAAAGGAATTACAAATCTACAATGATAACCTGATTACGATCATTCCGTGGATCCAGAACTACAGGACGATCAATAGGTGCATCTACCGGTTACCATCCCTACTCTCGTACTGACACCAGTCTCCGTCACCAAAGATATCCACCGACAAAGTGCCGACACTAAAAACCAGTCTTTCTAATTCCCTTCGCCACTCCATCTCTCCCTTTTTCATCATCGCCGTCACGCCCGATCTTACTAAACGTCAGTATGTTTCTCTCTCTCATCACCGCCGTTATCATTTCGACCGTAAGGCCGTTCATCTCTTTGCTGTATTTTTCCCTCTATTTTGGTATGACAAGCAGCATGCCAATGGCAAGTTTCGAGACATTGACACTTTTATTTATTAAACAAATGTATTGTCTTTTAATTGTTGACCAGGCAAAGCCAAATTTCCTGAAAATACTCTATATTAAAGACGAAATATCGACAATAAATAATAAACAAAAAGAAATATAAGACGACTAATTGTTTTATTTACCCTCGGCCTAGAGCTCACAAAAAATAAAAGATTACGACAAACGGCCAAAAAACAAACCCAACCATAAATGGATTATGTTATTTCCTTCTCAGCCAGCCTGAAAGGAGGGGTAGGTTTCTATTTACTAGCGAGAGTTCTTGAGTTAGAAAACAAAAAAAAACAAAAATTTATTGTATTATTTTAAAGATATTTTGGAACAGTACTAACTAAAGACAGCCCTCATCTTATGAAACATCACCAATATACGTATGTAAGTAGTTTTAGCTTTTTCTGGAACGATTTGAAAATCGAGCGACCGACCTAGAATTAATAACCATACAGGGTTGCATTGTTGCCTGCTTTATGTGTGTGAGAGAAATTCAAACCTATTGGGCTTAATTCACAAAAAGTGAGTTTAAGCTCCGACTCGATTTTCAGTAAAAATTCTTGAGTTTGAGCTGACTTCTTCAGTGCAAAAATTTAGTCTGAGCTTAAGTTCACTTTTTATGCAGGAGGCCCATTATTTCCACTTAGAAATCCCACCTTGAAATAGGCACTTAGATCTACTCTATGAGGGAAATATTTTTCCTTTCTATACTGACTCGGTTATGAGGGCCTTTATGAAAATCCGTTGCTTTATTATTAAAAGTGTACTATTTAAAGTTAAGCATAATAATTATTTATCATATAAAAATTAAAAATTATAACTTAGTTTTAATTATTTGCAAAAAATACTTCACTCAAAAAGCTTTTCATTTGTTATGCAATTTACTAACACCTTCGTCTCCCTTCTGCTTTTCCACAGTACTTTCGCACGCTCAATACCCGCGTATCGGTGGTGTACATAGAGACGTGGGGTAAAAACCAGGCCGTCATCGATGGCAGCAAAGACATCAGCAAAGCCATATCGAATTTCAATGACTACACATCGCGGAATCTCTTCCAGATCGAACGCGATACCACACAGCTGCTAACGTAAGTAAACAAACTATACAGAATACAAACGAAATAATTTAGCTAAATAAATGTGATGACTAAATCACAAGCGTTAGCACTCACGCCAACGCACAATGCATTAGGCAAATACACAAATAGCTAGACAAATAAAATTAATTGAAATGGACTTAGCAGAGCTGAATTGTATTGAATGGAATTGAATTCAATGGTATTGAATGGAATTGAGTGTAAAATCGTTACGCAGCAAATTTAATAACTCTATCGCTCTAACGCTCGACTGTGTATTTAGTAGCTATTGGGTAACACTTGCCGCCGCTAATGCACACAGAAATGACAATTAAATTCACAAATGCATAATTAACGCACAATCGGGGCATTGCGGGAGCCAGTAGCGGCAACAACAAAAGCTGATTGCCTGCAGATAGAATGTCAGATATGTGCCTACACATTCATACTACAGACATACATATGGATGTCAGGGGCATTCTTTTCGGACGGTAAAAGACAATGAAATTATATAGAAATCGCGGTTCTAAAATAGCTAACAAAAAGTATTTGGTGCGAATATTTATGAATTATTTTCACAGAAACTACTTACAAAATTTTTGAGGCGAAATTGTTCGTATAATACAATGAAATTTTGTAAGTTTTTTTAATTTTGATATTTCATATTTTTTGCCCACAATTTTTATTTATGAAATGTGTAAGAATTTTAGCCAGCAAATTGTCTCCCATACAAAAAGAATGCCCCATAAATATATATATATTTTGTGGGCTTAGTGGCAGAGTGAAAATCAGCGCCAAATATTCCATACAGCCGTGTACTATGCTCTGAGCCGTGAGTGACTGCCTATTCGCGGGTATTTTATTTATGACCACCACCACCACCACCAGCACCAGCACCAGTACCACATCGCTTTAACCGAATCTAGTACAATAACACTTTTGAGTGCTCTTAGCCAGCGACGGATAGTCGCAATCGCACTTTACGCTGCCATTACTAAGCCTTTAATAGATCGTCTACTCGCATACTCACAGCTGCGGATTATAGCGAGTGTAAAGTGCCGCCTTAGTGAGCTCAGTCGCAGTGAGCCTTTCTTGCGCATTTAATGACACTTATACCCAAAAGCGTAACTGTATAAATGTGGGGGGATTGGGGATGCCGTGGCAGTTTATGTCAGCCATTTGGTTAAGTTGCCACAAACTGATTTCATTCATTCACACGCTGCCCGGTGGGCATAAAGTTTTAATGCGCATTCCTGATTTTATTTGCTTAGCATATTTTGAAAGGATAATAAATTTCAATATATAACAGCCGTTGCCCACAATTTGGTAGCATAGTTATTAGAAACAAAATTAAACTTGCATATAGAAATTTTCAACTAAGTATACATCTTTGGTATACAATAAACACAACCAGCTGTTGGCACAATGAACTGGCCATTCAAATTTAAGCTCCATTCGCTGTTTAAATCCACGCAATAATATTTAAGCTAACACTCTGTATCGTTTCCACCAATTTTTCTGCTCATCCCTCCCCTCAATTGTCAACTACTACTTTGGGGCTCTTTAATAAATTACTCTGGGTTTGTTGTCAAATGAATTAAATTAACATTTAATTATGCCATTCGCTTGTGAAGGTGTACGTACAAAAGCGCTGCTTTGTTGTTAGGCTGATCGAAATGGATTGCGCAAACTCATCACACAATTGGAATCGTAATTCACTACATTCATTTGTCTCATTTGCTACGTGCCGCATGCTCCAACATATTTTTTGTTGAACGCGCGTTTGAATTGAGGCGCAGAGATTGATAATTGATAAGGCAGCGAATAGTTGTGGTATGCGAAATACATAAATTTGTTTTTTTTTTTTTGTATGCGTGCAGGAAACAGACCAGACATGTCGGACTTTTCGATATGCAAACACAACTGGCATGTTAAAAAAAAATCGTTTACGTGTTTAGATTAAATCGACGGCTGAGTGTAAGATCGACCTATCTCGGTAGCCGTTACGAGAACTCACTATTTCAGAAATCGGTTGAAGAATGCCCTATCTCGGAATTTGGTTCCACCTCAAAATAAAATATATTGAAAATATGTTGAGATAGGGTGCATTTGAATCTGCAGCTGAAATAGGACGTTTATAAGCCGAATTTTTACTTGTTAAGTGATTATTTTTAGTTTTTTTAGTTTTTCATAGTTCATTATTTAAAAACATCCGTATAAATACAAGTTTAAAGCCACGTTTAGGTATTTGCCGAAATTTGGTGCAAATCGTTTCCCAATTGTGTGAACACCCAAAATTTTTTTCTTTATCCCAATCATGAAAATTAATTAGTTGAAATATTTCAATAGAACGCCGCTGTATTGTATCAATCTTTTGACTACAAAAAAAATTGATGCAAGTAAAAAAAATCAAAAAATTTTCATTAAAATTTAGAGTTTTTTTATTAAATTCTGAGTATGCAGTTTTGTAGAACACTGAATTCTAGTAGAATAAAGTATAAGTTTCAAATGGCTAAAAATTATGATTAATTGTTTAGAATTTTTAAAAAAGTTCGAAATTTGTACGAAAGTTTGTTGATTTTTTTTTTAATATTGCAAAATTTTCAAAACTTTGATTTACACGGGTTTTGTTACAAAAAACAAATTACCAAAATTAAATAATAACAAAAATAATATGTTAAAACTTGGCAAAAAGGGTTTCGGCTATAATGGATTGACCACCGTATGTATTTTTTAACTATTTAATTGGACATGCACTTTGTACATAATGCTATGTACTGTTACTCACAAAATTGAGCGTACGTTTTTTTTTTTGTTAATATTCGCAATGCTAAAATCTTTTTGTTAATTTTGTATTAAAATATGGCTTATATTTTAGCAAATCCCATTTTAATCCAAGAGTAAATCAGTGTACGAAAATTAAGAAAAATCCGCAAAATTTCAGCAAAATCGCGAACTCTTTAATACGATTACACCTGCTACTGGACTAAATCCTGCAAAACTTGAAAATCTCACTGCTGCTGGAACGCAATTTCTATGCCTTTGGCTACGTGTCACAACTGTTTCATCTTTACAAAGTAGAATTGAACTCATATGGAAACACACACAAATTTATACCAAAAATCAATCAAATCCGCAAAGCCTTCCGCTTTAATAAAACCAATCATGCGTGTCTTTGTTAAAACCAACAAATTTCACCACACACCTGTCACCACAACAAAGTGATACATTTTCTTCGTATCCTCATAATTTATCAACGTAGGTACATGCATTTTATTTCATTTTCGTGTTTGCTACTTTACATTCCTCTATTCCCCGCCCTCATTCTACGAATTCACTCACATAATGGTCGGTCAGAGGTAATGCCGCTAAAATTGATGTTAGCGGTTGACAAGCAGGAGTGCAAATCAACATTGAGTCGCTAGCCCGCATTCTAATTTTCACATTCACCTTCTTTTCTGGCGCTTTTTCGCTTTTGTTTGCGTTTTGTAATGGTCTCACGCGCTTAGCTTAAGTGGTGGCTTTCAAGTTACGAGTGGGGCAGGTGTACGCGGCGCATGAAGAATGAGTTGTTTGTTCGCATTGGCAGTGTGTCTTTTTGTTGGTTGCGTTAGGAAAACGAGCAAATTTCTTGTTACCTTCCAGCCACAATTCTTGACATTGAAATAGAAGCACAACGCGCTCATTTGGTTGGTTACTAAGGTTAGGAGGTAGAAGAAGAAGAAGAGAAGATTGATATTTTTAGTTTTTTTTTTCAATTTTGGTAGCTAAACACGTAACATGGATGCCATTCAAATTTTTGTCTAGTGCTTTTTTGCATACTTTAGGAGTATGTAAGGAATTTTGTTATTTTTTTTTTTTGTGAAACAAGTAGTTAAGTTAGTCGAAAAAAGGGTTAACACCCTTCTCATTTGCCATTCAATGCTTCTCGTGCCATTCATTTTCAAAGCCAATTTTTGATAATTCAACTGCTCGAGGGTAAAGCTACAATATTATTTATTTATGCTGGTACATTAGCACACATGTCACATATTCAAAGACTTGCTTTCTATAGGAAAATATGTATGTAAGTATGTGGGGTGGCAATAAGAGCCTTAACTGCTTGGGATTTAACAAACGGTGTGCTGTAAATGTTGGTAAACTCTTAATAGAAACTTTAAAATTATTTAACCGGCTATTTAAATGGGAATTACGTTTAAATATTTCTTTTTATTTTTTACTTTATTGCTAAAACAATTTCAGCTATAAACTCTTAAAGGAACCAAAAAAAAGTAGTCTTAGACGTTTACACCTGTGTGAACGAATAACGCCTTCACCTAGAATCTGGAAGATGTCAACCTTCAAATCTTTAAACTTCAGAGCTTTTGATGAAATTTTAATTCAGAAAACTTTTTGTCATAAAGCATCCCAAAATTTTGTTGTATAAGGCGAAGAGTGCTCTGAAAACTTTGAAAGGGTTTGCAATGTTCTTCAATTATCTCCAAGCCAATGGTAAAAAATTCTTAAAAATTGGCAAAACCAAAAAGTCGTGTGTGAGGAAAACCGCGGTTTTTTTGGAAAATCTTTAAATTCAATGACATCTACGAACTGTGCCAGGCTGTTAGAAAAATTTCTACCAAATTTTTTTGCCACCCTATATTTCCATAAATGTCAAAGCCAGAGTAAAACTGCAAATGTTCCGGAAATAAAAACTCCCGTGTACGCCTTAAAAATGCTTCCCAAAATTACATATGTATACATAGGTGTATCTCTAGCTGCCCTGTTATGGTTGAGCTTATTTTTATTAGATTACAAACGAAAAGAAAAACAAAAAAACACCGTTTCCAAATGTGTAAAATTGACTGCACGACCAATAAATTATTTATTTATTTATTAATTCTCGCTGATGTATGTATGTATGTACATATATATATTCACATATTCACATATAGATAAACAAATGACAGAGGTTAAAACAAGCAAATGTTCTTCAATAAATTTCACATAATTTTTGGTGAACGCGCAATTGGCCA